GCTTTCAGCTACAAGGCAAATTCCTGCAGCAGAAGTCCCTAAGAAAATCAAGGATTTGAGATACTGTTCTTCTTTGCACTCACCTGGTGGGTGCCTTGCACAGCTCCACAGCTCTGCCTGGGGCAGGGAATTGCTTCAATTCCTCACCGTTACAGACTATTTCCTAGCCCATGCACATGAATTCCTCCTCAAATGAAAGCAGAAGGAGGACGATGCTGGAGTTGCTCCCTCTTGCTCCAGAGATGGGTACGTGGAAAAGTTAGTGCCTGGAGCCTGACTGAGCAGGTTACATTTCCTGCTTCGCATCCACTTATGTGATCTTGCACGAACTGTTTCACGTCTCATGAACTTCAGTTCTCAGCCAAGCTGATGGAAGGAGCAGCGTTGCCCTGCCCTGCAGGCTGGCCCGAGATGTGGACGGCTGTGAGAAGCTGAGGTGACACGGGGAGAGGAGGAGGCATAAGACACCACAGATGGGAGCCCTAGGGGAACTTCAGGGGCTCCACTTTCACGAGAAGTTGACTCCCCTATGAAGTGGCATTAGACTACGTTGGGACAATGAGTGGGTTCAAGTGGTGCTGTTCATCTTACGGGATCTCAGGTACAAATTTTGTGTGCTGGAAGGGTCGGTAATGTGCTTCCCCAGGTTTGCATAGGAACGGGCAAAAGATGGGGACTGCCGGACAGGTCTTGCAGTGATCCCAAATGGTGTGTCCTCCAAGTCTGCCCTAATGCTTATCTGTCTTGATCCAAAGAAGTGATACTAGGACAGCAAAGCAGAAGAGCTACCAAGTGAGGTAGGATGAATCTCTCAGCTGACTAGGGAGAAGACAGGTATCAGAAGGGGAAAAAGGACTCAAGAGGGGCTACAGGATCAAGTACAGGTAAGCTAGTTTCAGTTCATCAGGAGAAGAAAGTGGGAGATTATTTTTCTCAGTGATTTTGTTGGCCTGTGGGCTCTGGGTCATGCTGCATCCTAGTTCATATCCATTAGACTTTAGCACAAGGAAGGGGTTCTCCCTCACCATCTGCATTAGACCATTTATGGCTTCTGAGGCCAAAGGAGAACGACAGCAAAAGAAAGCAGAAACCCTCAAAAGCAGACTGTGCACTATGAGGAAGTGATAGGATGGCCCACATCTCAGATTTCCCTATCTCTTGTCACTGGGATCATAATTTACATCTTGAATCCCTGAGGACAGAAGATGATATAAGTGATTCTTCCAACCAGCATTTCATCAGTCTCGCAGCATCTGGGAGGGCCAGGTTTTAGTATAGGTCTGCTCTAGCCCAATTCTTTAAGGGAACTGGGCTCTTTTTCATGCTCCTGTCTCAGTGGCAGCACATTTCATGAAGTGAGATCTCTACAAGTGTGAAGGGAAACTGGTGCTGTGAATCCCGCTGCGAATTTCTCTCTGAGACAGAGCACAGACCCCTGGAGATGCAGATGGAAAGGTCCCGTTCCCTGGCCTGCTGCAGGGCAGAGCCGGACATCGGCGTTTCCAGAAAAAAGAGATTTGGGAAGGAAGCACTGAGATTCCCTTTGCCCTCAGAATTACCACGAGATGGAGGCGCCCTGACCTCCTGCCCTGGTTCCTCTCTACCCTACCTGCTTCCGTTCTGTGGGAATACATGCGTGCGTGCATTGGCCTCGGGGGCACGGAGCCCCACTAACACTAGGGAGGGGGCATTTCCTCTCTAGTGCAAGACAGGGAAGAGCATGAGCGCACGTAGGAACGTTGCACACAACCGGGTACTTGATGCCAGTTTTCTGCAGCGTGCACAAGTATTGCCTTCCCTCCTTGGCTGGGCGGATGCACAATCCAAAGGTGGGCTGTATTGCCAAAGGCTTAATCTGATTAAGTGGTAAAGTTATCATTTTTCAAAAATTGGCTGCCTTTGAACTGTGAGCTGATTTTACATGGGAATTTCAAAGAGCAAATAGAAAGAGCCTTACAGGGAGAAAAAAAACCAACCCCTGATCAGATAAGCATAACCTATGCGTTGTGTTAAAATAAGCCTCTGACATCTGCAGGATTAATGCTTTGCCCAGAGGATACAGCAGTTCAGTGGCAGTGCAGAGATTTCTGTGAAACAATGTACAATCCTTTTTGGGAAAGCTACCGATTTCTAACAGGAAGAAAAAGAACCATGGTGATTTTCAATTAATTTCAATTAAAATAGCAGCAGAAGAGCCAAAGAGCTTTGCTCCCCAGAGTGACTGTAACATTGGGTCCGATCCCACGCTGTGTGCTTGTGAAGACTCCAGCACGCAACCAGTGCCTGCTCACACTATTTTACAACTAGATTTGTATAGCTTAGCTGCTTGCAGATCATCCGTTTAGGTCCAAAATTTATCATCCGTGCGCACGAGATGAACCTTGCTGCTCCAGCCGATCCTGAAATCCACGGAGCCATCTCGGGAGTAAGATCCATCTAGAGGAATTAAAGGTGACAGAATCGTTTTGCAAATTTTAATAACGCATCGGATATTTAGTCCCAGGCTTTTCCACAGCTCCCACCACCGTGCTGAGCTGCGCTCTCAATATCTTTGCTGTCACCTGTGCAGCAGGACTGAAAAATTACTGTAAGCTCCCTCCTGTTTCTGGACAGGAATAGTTTGGCAGCTAGCTGCAGGACAACCGTGATGCAGGAACACGTCCCCCGGCAGCTCTTTTCCAACTCCTGAACATTTACCTGGCATTGGTACAAGAAACGCTGCACACCTGCACTGGGCAGGACTCTGCTGACCTCTCTCCCGCTCGAAAGGCACGTGGAGAGGAGTGCATGGGATTCTTGAGCTCTCTTCCAGGTTTGATCATTGTAGGAGATAGTAGTGAAAAAGGTCATTTATTTTTAGAAAGTCTTGATTTCTGTGTGAGTCAATGGCACTGAGAGGTTCGTGAAAATCTTTACATGTTACATTTGGCCCGGAAAGGAATTTCTGCAAAAATATAATATAATATAATAAAATAAGCCCTTACTAACAGATATTTTTATGATTATTAACTGTTTAATATCGCAGCTGAAAAAGTCAAAAATGCAGAATAAACCATAGTTATTCTGCAGCTTCCTCAGACTGAAGTTGTACCCTGCGGTGCTGGCACCCGACAGACCAGAGGTGGAAGGGATTACAGAAGCGGCAGGGACAGCCTCCCCTTCCAGGGTTGGAAAAAATGTGTAAGTAAAGAGCAAAAGCAGTAGAAAGGAAAAGATATTTAAATGTGTTATTTCTGTTCAAATATTCTAGGATGTTACCAGTGACACAGGAGCATTTTGAGAGATCTTCGACATGCAGGTATTACATTTTTAAGGCCAGATGAGACACTGGCAAATATCTGCTCTGACCTCCTGCATGCAACAGCGCAGAGCACATCTTTTCAGGATAACGGAGAACCGCAGTTCTATTAATTATGACTATTGTGATTATGAATGGTGTGTCCCGTGCTACTGCGTAGGAACCCCTCTCCTGTATCGGCACCCCTTCATTTAAGGCGGAGGAGAAAAAAAGGTAATACTTCCTCCACAAATCCTTTTCAGTTTTAATCTTGCTAACCCGGGAGCTAAAGATCAGAATTCCATGGGGAAGGATCAGAGATTTTAGTGGCAACAATTATTACGGCTGGAAAATTCTTAAATAGTAGAAGGATGTTCCCACATTCTTTGTGAGACCCTATCTCCCATTTAGCAGACACAGCAGAGCGTTCAGCGGGATTGTGTATAACTGTATTATATATAACGGAATGTATGTTTTCTTTAGAGAAGCCTCCAAATGTTAATGCTGCTTTACAAAATAGTCATTTCTGCACACATTCGCTTTCTCTATTTTATTTAAACCCAATTCCTGGCAGCAGGAGGGGCGAGAGACTAGACCTGAATGAACACAGAGTAATTTAGGGTGCCAGGGACAGCAGGGTTGAGGTGCTAGTGGGGACAGCTGCTGGGTGCTGTGACAGTAAATGCTTGTTTCGCTGTCACTTTTGCAGCTGTTTGGAACACAGCAAAATAGGGTCGGGCACGGGGGCGGGGGGACGTGGCAACTTGTATTTTGCTGAATGAAGATCGGCATCAATGATGTCTTAGCGCCGGCCCTGCAAGCCTGACATTTATGAATCACTTTCCCTTTGAGATTTAAGACGCAGAGCCTCACTCTTAAGTATCTTGGTTTTGTTACTCACTTGGTTTCCACGTCGTTTTCTTTTACGATACCTTCATTAGAAAAGAAGGCATGTGAGCGAAAATCAGAACATGCTATTTAAAAGCTGATGGTAAATAAATGAGCAGAAAACCAAACACCGATGACATCTGCACGAAACTGTGTTCAAGCACGCACTCAGAGAATATAGAAAGAAGGTAACTTTATGTTTTAATCTATCATTTTATTTAATGCTTTCCTTTATAGCTTGATTCATCTCCCAGTAAAGCTAAAGGAAAGGTTTTTACTGCCTTTTATGAGAGTTGGATCAGTCCTTTAGAGTAACAACATTTTAATACAATTTAATATACTTAAAACTTTGCAGCTCATATTGCTGAAAGGTGCTTTTGACACAAGCTGTCCCCTGAGTTCAGTTTGGTTTAGGTCGGTGTTCATTCATGCTACTGTCCCAACCTGCGTATCTGGAGATTTCAGAGTGATCTTTTGCAATGAAAACCGATTGAGTTCACTGTTCCCTTTCCAAGTCCAATTATTCCTTTTTTGCGGAATCTTTTGACTAAATCCTCCACTTTTCCTCAGTAATTTCCTCAGTTATCCAGTTTGTTTTACAGACATTTACATCTAATGTGGAATTTGCTGTAAAAGTTTCATAAAGACCTCACAAAGGAAATCATTAGTTTACATCAATTTAAATTTATCTAGCCAAACCTTGTGGCTAATCCAAAGGGAGAGTGAAAGAGAAAATCTAATACACCAGAGGCCTTCAACAAATAGGTTATTTTTCTGTCCCTATACAATGCACCATTATGTACTTTTTTTCTAATGAAAACAATGCAAGCAGCAGTGATGGGAAACTGGAAAAACAAAAGAGGCATTTATAAGGAACTGGTTTACAGTCTGAAAAGCATTGAATAATGTTACACCTGATAACAGATACTTTCTCAGAGACCATCGGACAGTTTAGCACCACAGCATTTACTTAAAGAGGATACAGAATGCAGCTCCGAAACCCATCAATTACATCTGCCGAGCCTCCGGCTGTTTTATCGAAACATTTTTGCCTAAAAAAAAAGGAAAAGCGGGATCGATATAAACTCAACATGGGAGTCAAGCGTTTCGCAACCGCGCGCCAAGCGGAAAGGACGGGAGCGCCCTGGAAAGCCAACCTCAAAAGCGCGAGGGAGTCAACCCAGGATTG